TGAAAAAAAAACTATTTTTTTCAAATATATTTATTATCATATTTCTAATAATATTTCCTAAAGCGTCACTTTTTACTTCCTCGACGATTTTTCCTCTCAAAAAATTCAATAGCTTACATTTTGACAGAACTTAATATGAAACAGGAGATTAAAGTTTGGCAGAGTTGATGGAGAATGAAAAATCATCTTCAATTTTTTAAGGGTGCCCCCGCATGTACGTTTATTTGAGAGGAGGAGGATTACCCTCTCAATTTTGAAAGCTTCGTTAACTTAATATCTCGATGAATATTGGATTAAAATTGAATTTGCCCATACCAATATATCTGATACAATATCCTTAAGTTTTACTAAAAAGAATTTTTTTAAATCCCTGCAGATTCGGGGATTTTTAAATTTTTTGATTTTTTTCGAAAATTTTTTCGGAAAAAAAATATTTTCAGAAGAGCCTTAACGGCTAAGTTTTATGTTTAATGTTGAGTATCAAAAAGAATGGACATCTGATATAGCCATCATATATCCCAGAAGCAAATAAAAATTCTGACTTTTTAGCAATAAAAATGAAATTTTATTTTTTGCAAAAAACAGGCCACCCGGATGTACGTTTATTTGAGAGGAGGAGGATTAAATTTTTGAAAGCACTAAAATTTGTAAATATGCTAGTTATATAATAATATGCATTATTTTAAAAATAAAAATTAAAGCACGTTAAAATCTTTTTTGATGAATTTTTACAAAAGCTACTCAGGATAATGCAAGATATGAGTAGTTAAACATAAATTTCAAATCAGATTTTACTTATAATAAATATTTTAAATTTCCGAAAATTAAGTTCAGATCGACTCTATACGTAGTAAATACTAAATAAGGTCCCAAAAACCTATTAAACAGTATCAAAACTATCAAGATTGTAATGTTTTTGAAGAAAAATTTATAGAATTATGGACTTCAAACAGATATTATGTAAATAAAAATAATATAATGAATTTATTTATGTTTCATATTAAGTTCTGTCAAAATGTAAGCTATTGAATTTTTTGAGAGGGAAATAATCGTCGAGGAAGTAAAAAGTGACGCTTTAGGAAATATTATTAGAAATATGAAACACCGTTTTTGATATGGTCATTCATAGTGCTGCATAATTCATATCAGTAAGTAATTTCGGAAACCAGATAAAAAATATTAATTTGCCCAACCATTGCTGCACCATGTGAAATTAAAAGTTTGACCAATTTTTTTTCCTATTATATGATGTTGCAGTATAAAGAGCGGGTTTTCCATTATTATCTCTTTCATTGATATTTATACTGTGTGAAATAAGAAGTTATGCTGTTTCTTTACTATTATTGAGTGTTGCAATATGAAGAGCTGTTTCTCCATCTTTATCTTTTTCGTTGATATTTGCACCATGTGAAATAAGAAATTCTACTTTTTTTTGCTCCGAGTATGCACTGCCTCATGAAGAACTGTTTTTCCATTTATACACTTTTCCATTGATATTCGCACCATGTGAAATAAGAAATTCGGCTGTTTCTTTTCTATTATAACGTGTGCATCATGAAGAGTGATTTCTCTATATTAATTTTTTTTCATTGATATTCGCATAAACAGAAAGGAAGTATTTGCAAAGAGATGATATATCAAATATTGTTGAGTAAATAAAGAATTTGTTAGAATTATTAGTCTGATCGAAATAGACGAAAAATGCATCAAGATTTTTACACCATCCACAATGAGCTAAATTGATCTCAATATTGTGTGAAATAATTGCATATTCCCTGCAATTTTGATTTGGTTATTTATGTTTCAAGCATTCACTCATGATCTCTGAATTACCTCTCAAAAATGATAATTCTAGGCATTTTTGAGTTATTTCTAAGTTAAATTTAGTTCTCAATAACTTGAAACAATCAACTGCACCATGATAACAACATAATTCAAGGAAGGAAAATTCTTCCTTAGGATTTGGATATAATCTGCTTTTTAGTATTTGATCTTTATCAAATCTATCTATTTCAGTGAATGCAATGAACCTCCCTAAGTCATTACACATAATTGCTCTGTAAATTGTATCTTCTTTATGATAATATGGGTTATAAGATTTAATTTTGTCGAAATAAACAGATTTGTTTAATTTATCTCCATATTCGTTATAAAACAAGAAGTTTGAAATACTGTTAACTTTGTTGACCTTTTTGAGATGATAATATTCAGATATGAGTTTGACAAGAGATAAATACGACTTTGTATAGCGATTGTTATACGGAATGATACTATAAATGTCTTCTAGTAGGAGGATATATTGTATAAAATGTGCCAAATATCGTGATATGGGATATTCGGATAAAATTGCTAGCGTATTCTCTTTTTTTGCAAAGCGACATCATATTATTATATAGAACGTATACATGGGCAAATGGCGGGAAAAGTGACAACCTAAATTTGTAGTGGCGGGGATGACACTTTTTGTTGTCTAGTTGAGTATAAGAAATCCCACTAATAGATGACAAATATAATGTATTTCCCTATCACATGGAAGCTAGATGAACTTTTTTTCAAAATGAGTTGTGAAATATGAAACGAAAAAGAATTTCAAATTCAATTTCAATCATGAACAGTTCTTTAATCTGTGAAAACAATAAGATACCAAATACTAAAGGAGCACAGCATGATCCCTACATTGTGCTTGCAGTAATCCAAACAAAAAAATAATCAGCTTATTTTCTACCCAAACATAGAAAGAAATATGATTTAATCGAACCCAAATACAAATGAAAGCTCCTCAAGTTGCTTTCGAGTACTCATACTGCTTATAAATCTTTTCTAATTGATGAAAAATAAAATTTTGATTTATTTTTGATATCTATCTAGTTTTTGAAAGTCAGATACCCCCAATTTAGTTATGTTTATAGTTACTATAGAGAATTTTCTAAGATAATACAATTCGATATTGATAAATAATTAGCGCTCATATATTAATGGTAGGTTTGGCTAGATTCTACATAAATACGATAAATCATGACTTGTAGCTAATCTATTGATGGAAATGTGAATTTGATAGAAAAATCGAAAGTTCGTTCAAAGTGGTCAACGACCGCCATTTGGCGGAGCCTATCCTCCAATGGTATATCGAAGTAGAAGCCCAAAAGAATATTTTTATTGCATTAAAAGACTCATCTTTGAAGGTGGCGTCGCCATCCTATTCAATTTCTGAAATTTTGAATAGTTTAAATTACCCTAATTGAGAGCCCGCCAGTGGCGGAGAAAAAAAATAAGAGTGATTTTTTAGAAAAAATTTAAAAACACAAATTCCTTTAGAAATAGAATCGACTTTAATAATAAAGTATAATTTCTCGTTTAATATCATGATGAAATGATAGTAAACTATTCAAAAAAATTCAAGAAAACAAAAAAAATAAAGAAAATTTTATACTTTTTGTAAGGGCAATTTTTCCCCTCCCACCACCTATATCCCGCCACCTATCGTTCAAATTGAGTAGGGTTGTTAGATTCCCGACGATAGGTGTCTTGGAAGATTTGCCTGGTGTCATCATAGTGTCTTTAAATCAAAAATTTTATTTTGGAGTTAGTTTTATTGATTTTTCAATAAAAAACATTTCTAAAACAAGAAAATAAAACGATAAAATATTTATATTTTATATAAGGATCTTATATATTTAAAATAAATATCATTTTATTTTTTTCATTGGTGTCTGTCAAACCATAATACACTATTCAAAAATTCAATGTGTCTTGCGGTTTCAAAAGACACCTGCAAATTGAACGATAGCACAGACACTATTGAATTTTACCCATTGTATTTAGTTTTTACCCTTTTTATTTTTAAGAATTAATGACTGAAACAGCGTTTTGCTATGACCTCAATCACTTTTATTTATTATTTTAAATATTATTTAATTTATTATTTGAATAGGCCAACTTATATTTGAGAAGCTCAATTTGAGACCACTTAATACATTGAAATATCATAAATATTGAAATATTAAAAAGTGTATTTCAAAATATTGAAATTATAAAAATTTATAATACTGAAATTGAGACAATTAATAAATTCAATGTGTTTTTTTTTGAAATAACTCTCAAATATTATTTTTTTGTTTATTTAATGATGAATAAATATGATTGCTTTAGTCAATCATAAAAACTAATTTAAGTTTAAAATAATGAAAGGATAATTTGATCGTTTTTTAAAATACAATTATTTTTGATGATTTGCAAGAATCTTTGAAAAGAATATAATATAGGTTCTATTTTTGTAAAATTTATCCAAATCATGTATTACATAAATTACGATTAAAAACAATGAAAGAACCAAAAAGTGTGTTTTGTGTTTTGTTGTTGCGTGTTGGATGCGGGATCCTGTTATTTCCGAAATCGACAAAAAATTTGGAAATTTAATTTCCGAAATCGAAATTATATTAATGTTTTTAATATTCTTATATCAAAAGGATTAAAGTTCATTAAGAGAAAAACAATTCTTCTTCTTCAATCTATTGGCGCATTTATTTCTACACGCCAATAAGGAAGGGAAAATTATAAGACACCATGGTGTCTTCAAAACGCTAATTTTTGATATTTTTAACAACCCTAAAATTGAGTGTGGCGGGCAAATAACCCGCCATTTGCCCATGTATAATAGAACGATAATTCAAGAAAATGATGGAAAGCTGAATAACTAATAACTTACGAAAGATCACTATAGTTGACAGTAAACATAAAATTTTACTCGTAAGTATACGTTGGAGCATTGAAATACTTGATTCAATAAGAAATATGGCAATTATTTCTAGTTTTTGATTTTACATATTGCCATATTCCTAATGAGAAAGCGAAAAGAATTCTGAAGTGTCAAATCAAATTTAAGTATCTTAAGTTTTTATCGAAATCCAAACAGTAAATACAAAAATAATTTTAATAGAAACCTTAAAAATCATAAAGGTAATAGTGGATAGCCAAAAACATATTAAAATTGAGTTACATAATTAAGAGTCAAAAGCTGGATATTGTTCACCAAATAATTCGAAGTATTTCTTCTTCATATTTTCGTAACTAGATCCGCATTTTTCAAACAATTCCTTAAATTTATCTTCACCGTATCCTTTCTTTTCAAATGTATTGAACACTTTTTTGCCTTCTAGTGACAAATTATTGTAAAAGTCATTGTCTCCGGTTTCAGTTTCGGAATATTGTTCAGATTCGGATTGGTCACTTCCCAATTCTTCTTCCATGTTACTACTTTCTTCTTCTGCATCAAAATCAACTAAAGTAGATTCAGGTGGAAAACTGCCTGGAGGGTAATCAAGGCTATGCTTTGATCTATTCTTTCTATCCATATCTTTTCTGGATGGGTTGACTTTCTTCGGTTCTAAAATATTGGCTCCATTGACTTGCTTATGTAATATAATAAACTCGTTTGGCTTATAATTCAAGGATTCTAAAGTTTGGTCATCACGGAGGATTTTACGATGATAAATTAAATTGATTTGCTTTAATTCAATTGAAAATTTCTGTTCTAGTGCTTTCTTAAGATCCAAAACATTCTTAGATGTCTCGATATCGATGTCATATGTTTTATTTGATATTGTTTTAATTGCAACTTTCATTATATTGTAAATGCCACTTTTTTGCCCGCGAAAAATTCTATGCAATCCTAAAGAAAAAGTTTTATGGGTGAACTATTTTTTGGAATATTCAGAATCTTGGAATTACATTAGATGTAAACATCATTGGAAGTCCAAAATATCGATTTTCAGAACTAATGAAGAAATTGAAAATCAAAAACGTACGTCCCTCTAAATTCATTGGTAAATTTGACTCCGTAGCTGGTGAAATTGATGCCTCGTGATTCCAATGAATCCAATTAGATTCCACACAATTTGCCATTTCATTAAATTTCAGGCATCTCACCATCTTCTATAATGTATTTTAATTCATCTTATAATTTCCACGTAATTTACAATTTCCTGGAAGAATATCGAAAAGAAAGAATTAAAAAGGTACCCCCACTCTAAAACTGTTAATAATTTCGACTTGGTTTTAAGGCTATAGATTATATAGATCATTATAAGATATTATGCGTTGAGTAATCAAAAATTCGTCTGTATCATCTTGAGATAAAGAACAATCAAAATTTGAATAAATATTATATTATTTTTTGTATTTTACAATTTTTGAATTAAAAATCCACCAAAGCGAAAAAATAAATCGGCAATTGTTTTTCATTTTACTTTTAGTTATTAATACTTTATCTATCTTGAATTTATAATTTTATTAATTTTTTTTGAAGACCCAAGTTCGATCCCTAGGAAACACATTTTTTTCTTTTTTAAAACGAACATACAAATAAAAAACATTAAATTTCATTAATTTCCGCTTGAGAAGACACTCTCCAGTGTTTTGAAATCAGTTTAAACTTAAGAAGATGTCTTCTTTTCTGCATCAAGAGAAATCTCGAGGAAATGCTTTGATTTTGTTTGTTTTATTATTAATAATATTATTTCTTTTATTTTAGAAGCAATTTTAATCACTCTAAGAGTTCAATGTACAAAAAGTTGAAATATTGAATTAAATTATTAGATAAATTTCTGAAAATTAATAGTTGATTCAATAAGAATTTTCCATATAATTTATTGTTTGAGTTATATTAGACCTCATTTTGAACTTTATGATAGAAATACATTTCGTATCTCAAAATGATACAGACAAAAATCTTTTATAATTGAATATGTTTTTATACATAACTATCCGAGTTCATTCTTAGATTAGCAAGTAGTTTTCATTAACAGTTTTTGAGCCTTGAAATTTAACAATTTAACATATGAGTTTTCTGGTAGGAAATCGATTATTTTTACGTACCTATTTGACTGTTAAAGTATAACCTTGAATTAACAACTTTGATTTTTAATTCGAAATATCTTCAAACTTTTTTCAGGATAATCAAAATATGTATCGGTGAAAATATTATTTTCATCCTGTACAAACATATCAATGTATGCTTTTAATTTGTCATCCGACATAGCTGGACTTATAGGCGTTTAAATACACACCTAATTCACGAAAATTTAAGGTTAAACAATGGGGGTACCTTTAGAATTAATTTTAATATAAATCAATTTGGAATAAATAAAATTTATATATGGTAACTTTAATATTCATACAAAACGCCAAGAACAAAATGAAAAGGATAAAAAATAATAAATTATTTTGGTTCAATTTTTGGCAGATCACAATATGTTGGATGCATACAGTGCCTAAAGTTCACTGTAGTAGCTTTTGTAATCTCGGAAATCTTATACTGAGATTGAATTGACCGTAACAAATGCCCAGCAGTAGTTGTTGCTTGTTTCAACCCAACAGAAACAATTCTGTGATCTATGTTCTGAGATAAGAGTTGGGAAGCTGATGGACGTTCTTTCGGATCTTTCATTAACATTAATCTAATTCGGCCACTTATTGTTGGCGGAATATTTTTGAAATCAGGCTCATTCTTCATAATGCTTTGGCATAATTTGGCCCTATTAGTATCCGAAAAAGGAAAAGATCCGGTTAATAAAGTATAAACGCAAACTCCTAAGCGCCAGATATCGGTAGCAAAATAATCAACTGAAGATCCTTTTAATTCTTCAGGAGTAGTATAGTTGACGTACTCTGAAATTGATTCAAAAGCAGTTTGATTAATATTAGCTCCGAGATGGAAATTAGCAAGTTGCGGGACCATATCCTTATCAAACATTATATTATCAAGCGTTATGAAGCCATGGTAAAGACCAAGATTGTGAGTAAATTTTATAACTGAGAGAAGTTGAGTAAGAATCGATAGGATTTCTTCTGGGGTCATGTTTCCATTTGAACATAGATATTCTTGTGCGGTAACAAAATGAATTGCTTCAAAGAAAATAAATATATAATTTCCAAATTCTTGAATACTGATAACGCGAGGAATGTTCGGATGATTTAGCTGCTTAATGATTGTCAGGCGTTTAACAAAATTATCGTAGGAGTTAGTTTGCTCTAATTTTGTTTTATTAAATGCCTTGCAAAGGAATTCTGTTTTGTTTTTATTAATGACTTTCATTACCATTATATCGTTGGAACGCTGCATCACTTCAGTAACTTGAAATCTTTCCCCTGTCTCTGGGAAGGAAAGCGTCTGCATAACAAGTAGATTTTGAAAATTCTGAAGAATCTAAAATAAAAAAAATTGAATCAAAAGGTAAAATAAGGATTTTACTTTATTCTGTGTAATTGTCATAGAACAGTATTTGAAATTTTCATAATTTAATTTTTCAAAGCACAAAATTTAAGAATTATAATATAATAATATGTTGGGCAAAATATTCATATTAAAATTTTTTTGTGAATACTCACAAAATGATTGCTGAAGAATGTAAAATATTTTAAATAAATAAAGAATAACTTGGTACAAAACATCAAAAGTGAACATGATGAATTTTTTATTTGAATGTGGCTCGATTGGCTCGGATTTTTTTGTCAAATCTATTGATTTTTTTGTCAAATCTATTGAAACTAATGGAGATGTATTGATTTTGGAAATTAAATGCAAAAGTTGGTATTAATAGGGAAATATATAAATTGTTTATTTTCGAAAATAAAGAAACGGTCGGATTTCGAATACGAGAATTTTTATTGATGTCTTTTTATCAACTTTAACAGAGGAAACCTTAAAAGAAAGCGCGGAATTGCATTTGTAAAATAGAAGTTTATTCGGCAAATGAAAAAAAAAAAATTAAATTTTAATTTTTCATCCTAAAAAAGGTATATTATTGCTTAATTCAATAAAAGTCAGGACAGATAATTTGTCTACTCATGAGAACGATAAGATTATCAAGAACAAATCTTTGATTTTATCTATTATAGCTTGTATGTAGATCTTTTATCATATGAAATCTATATTTCCATATGGAAAATCATTCAACAAAAGTCTATCGATAACATATGAAATATTCAAGAATATATTTTTTGTTTTTGGTCACTAAGGAACATGTGTTTATTCCAATTTAGATACAAGTCAAAAGATATCTTTTTTTTATAACCGAGAAATCGATGTTGAAGGAATGCGTGTTGTACCGAAAAAAAGTGACGGGCAATGCCGTAAAATAATATTTTATTAAAAATTTTTTGGTGGAGAATTGGAAAATTTTTGTTGGAAAATTGGAAAATTTTCCTAATCAAAAAAAAAAAAAAAAAAAAAAAAAGGTAGTGGGGCTTCCAGGCACTTCGTGCCTTCTAGCCCTGAAGATGTTTAGTATAAATGAAGTTCTTATATACGGGTCTTCCAGGAGCTTTTCACAAATTATATATGTTTTCATGGTTTGTCAAGACTTCTTCGTAATGAGTGTAAATGACCCAAAAATAATGTTTAGGGTAGAAGGTTAGATCTAACCTCTTTTCTAACCTCTTTTCTACCCTCTTGAATTTTCAAGACTTCTTCGTACATGTTTTGTCAAGACTTCTTCGTAATGAGTGTCCTCAAAGAATTCCTCATTTAAGTATTACTTTTCATTGTTTTTTAAAAAAATATCTTTGCTTATTTGTTCACATTTTTGACATTTATTATAGCTTTTTATCATATTTCCGATGATATGAATATATATTCTATATAAGAATGACGCTACATTCAATCTAAGACCAATATCTCAAAGAATTCCTCATTTAAGTATTACTTTTCATTGTTTTTTTAAAAAATATCTTTGCTTATTTGTTCACATTTTTGACATTTATTATATGCTTTTTATCATATTTCCGATGATATGAATATATATTCTATATAAGAATGACGCTACATTCAATCTAAGACCAATATCTCAAAGAATTCCTCATTTAAGTATTACTTTTCATTGTTTTTAAAAAATATCTTTCTTATTTGTTCACATTTTTGACATTTATATATGCTTTTTATCATATTTCCGATGATATGAATATATTTCTATATAAGAATGACGCTACATTCAATCTAAGACCAATATCTCAAAGAATTCCTCATTTAAGTATTACTTTTCATTGTTTTTTTAAAAAATATCTTTGCTTTTGTTCACATTTTTGACATTTATTATATGCTTTTTATCATATTTCCGATGATATGAATATATATTCTATATAAGATGACGCTACATTCAATCTAAGACCAATATCTCAAAGAATTCCTCATTTAAGTATTACTTTCATTGTTTTTTAAAAAATCTTTGCTTATTTGTTCACATTTTTGACATTTATTATATGCTTTTTCTCATATTTCCGATGATATGAATATATATTCTATATAAGAATGACGCTACATTCAATCTAAGACCAATATCTCAAAGAATTCCTCATTTAAGTATTACTTTTCATTGTTTTTTAAAAAATATCTTGCTTATTTGTTCACTTTTGACATTTATTATATGCTTTTTATCATATTTCCGATGATATGATATAATTTCTATATAAGAATGACGCTACATTCAATCTAAGACCAATATCTCAAAGAATTCCTCATTTAAGTATTACTTTTCATTGTTTTTTAAAAAATATCTTTGCTTATTTGTTCACATTTTTGACATTTATTATATGCTTTTTATCATATTTCCGATGATATGAATATATATTCTATATAAGAATGACGCTACATTCAATCTAAGACCAATATCTCAAAGAATTCCTCATTTAAGTATACTTTTCATTGTTTTTTAAAAAAATATCTTTGCTTATTTGTTCACATTTTTGACATTTATTATATGCTTTTTATCATATTTCCGATGATATGAATATATATTCTATATAAGAATGACGCTACATTCAATCTAAGACCAATATCTCAAAGAATTCCTCATTTAAGTATTACTTTCATTGTTTTTTAAAAAATATCTTTGCTTATTTGTTCACATTTTTGACATTTATTATATGCTTTTTATCATATTTCCGATGATATGAATATATATTCTATATAAGAATGACGCTACATTCAATCTAAGACCAATATCTCAAAGAATTCCTCATTTAAGTATTACTTTTCATTGTTTTTTAAAAAATATCTTTGCTTATTTGTTCACATTTTTGACATTTATTATATGCTTTTTATCATATTTCCGATGATATGAATATATATTCTATATAAGAATGACGCTACATTCAATCTAAGACCAATATCTCAAAGAATTCCTCATTTAAGTATTACTTTTTCATGTTTTTTAAAAAATATCTTTGCTTATTTGTTCACATTTTTGACATTTATTATATGCTTTTTATCATATTTCCGATGATATGAATATATATTCTATATAAGAATGACGCTACATTCAATCTAAGACCAATATCTCAAAGAATTCCTCATTTAAGTATTACTTTTCATTGTTTTTTAAAAAAATATCTTTGCTTATTTGTTCACATTTTTGACATTTATTATATGCTTTTTATCATATTTCCGATGATATGAATATATATTCTATATAAGAATGACGCTACATTCAATCTAAGACCAATATCTCAAAGAATTCCTCATTTAAGTATTACTTTTCATTGTTTTTAAAAAATATCTTTGCTTATTTGTTCACATTTTTGACATTTATTATATGCTTTTTATCATATTTCCGATGATATGAATATATATTCTATATAAGAATGACGCTACATTCAATCTAAGACCAATATCTCAAAGAATTCCTCATTTAAGTATTACTTTTCATTGTTTTTTAAAAAATATCTTTGCTTATTTGTTCACATTTTTGACATTTATTATATGCTTTTTATCATATTTCCGATGATATGAATATATATTCTATATAAGAATGACGCTACATTCAATCTAAGACCAATATCTCAAAGAATTCCTCATTTAAGTATTACTTTTCATTGTTTTTTAAAAAATATCTTTGCTTATTTGTTCACATTTTTGACATTTATTATATGCTTTTTATCATATTTCCGATGATATGAATATATATTCTATATAAGAATGACGCTACATTCAATCTAAGACCAATATCTCAAAGAATTCCTCATTTAAGTATTACTTTTCATTGTTTTTTAAAAAATATCTTTGCTTATTTGTTCACATTTTTGACATTTATTATATGCTTTTTATCATATTTCCGATGATATGAATATATATTCTATATAAGAATGACGCTACATTCAATCTAAGACCAATATCTCAAAGAATTCCTCATTTAAGTATTACTTTTCATTGTTTTTTAAAAATATCTTTGCTTATTTGTTCACATTTTTGACATTTATTATATGCTTTTTATCATATTTCCGATGATATGAATATATATTCTATATAAGAATGACGCTACATTCAATCTAAGACCAATATCTCAAAGAATTCCTCATTTAAGTATTACTTTTCATTGTTTTTTAAAAAATATCTTTGCTTATTTGTTCACATTTTTGACATTTATTATATGCTTTTTATCATATTTCCGATGATATGAATATATATTCTATATAAGAATGACGCTACATTCAATCTAAGACCAATATCTCAAAGAATTCCTCATTTAAGTATTACTTTTCATTGTTTTTTAAAAAATATCTTTGCTTATTTGTTCACATTTTTGACATTTATTATATGCTTTTTATCATATTTCCGATGATATGAATATATATTCTATATAAGAATGACGCTACATTCAATCTAAGACCAATATCTCAAAGAATTCCTCATTTAAGTATTACTTTCATTGTTTTTTAAAAAATATCTTTGCTTATTTGTTCACATTTTTGACATTTATTATATGCTTTTTATCATATTTCCGATGATATGAATATATATTCTATATAAGAATGACGCTACATTCAATCTAAGACCAATATCTCAAAGAATTCCTCATTTAAGTATTACTTTTCATTGTTTTTTAAAAAATATCTTTGCTTATTTGTTCACATTTTTGACATTTATTATATGCTTTTTATCATATTTCCGATGATATGAATATATATTCTATATAAGAATGACGCTACATTCAATCTAAGACCAATATCTCAAAGAATTCCTCATTTAAGTATTACTTTTCATTGTTTTTTAAAAAATATCTTTGCTTATTTGTTCACATTTTTGACATTTATTATATGCTTTTTATCATATTTCCGATGATATGAATATATATTCTATATAAGAATGACGCTACATTCAATCTAAGACCAATATCTCAAAGA